TTTTTGACKCGYGCGARCGTGTTTTGATACTGTAATCAAACATGGTTTTCAACCAATCACAGCGCGCGTAGTATCCTAAATATTTTAGAAATTACTATTACGCATGTTTCCTGTGTGATTGAAAAACTACCATAAATGACCCATAAATCATTTTTTTGATCACTTATGATTGAAAAATATCAACTGCCAAAATGCATTTATTATTATTTATCATTCCTGTGTGATTAAATAAAGGATATTACATGGGTGTATGGAAATATTGTGCTAACTCGTGGGATATATAAATTCAAAACTTGAAGATAAAATTCATATCTTATCTTCAAGCGACAGCTGTAATGTTCTGTCTATTAAATGACATTGGTGAAAGCAAAAGTCTGTAGTTACATAATCATTAGAAGATCAAAAAGTTTGAACATTTCAAGAACATATTAATTATTGATTTATGATTTCTGCATGATTGAATAATACCAAAACTGTCAATTAAGGAATGGACAATATCTAGCGTGCGTCCATCCAATGAGGGATATGCACGCGGATAGTTGGGAGAGCACGAAGCTAGCGTAAGAGATGCTCGAGACGCAGTCGAGAGCATCTCTAGCTAGCTGAGTGCTCTCCCAACTATCCAAGTGCATCCCTCATTGGATGGACGCACAAGCTAGATATTGTCCATTGCTTTTATAACATAGTGAGACGTTTTTACTCATCGAAATGTCATATTTTATGTTCTGATCAAGCGACAATTTCTCCTTAGCGTGCGAGCACAAACTAAAAATAGAACAACTTGATTTTCAAAGTCAGTATTTTTATTCAAACGTACGGATGTGAGTCACGAAATTGTGTCCAAATACAACACACAGGAAGTCTATTCCACAAATATTTGGCTATAATGTCAAGTTTAAAGTTTGTTGAAGCTTTTTCTATGTCAAAAGATCAAACGTTTTGATAAAATCGCAAGTTATTTTGGAGGATTCGCCAAGGATGAGGAGGCGACGACTTGCACGTTTTTTGGATGGTACAGTTGCTGAATATTGAGTCCAAATTGCATACAATCGGCCTCATCTCATGGTTTTGTGACCTAGCAGCCGTGTTGCTTGTTTTCTGAACGGGAACTAACGCCCTGGACGCTTGAATATGTTTTCAACTTCTCATAGAGGTCTTCATCTTCAATCGCCGGCTTTGTGTTGACTGCCTAAACTCTTGATTTGAACAAGATGTGTGTCACCAGCATATCGAGTTTGATCTTGAAAACTTTGTGTCTGTTGACATCTTAAGATTTCTTGAGAACATTGGCTGATTTAGGTATCTTTCGATGCCGTCACAGAAACCTAGGAGACTCTTCTTGCCGTACGTTTCGCCATAAAATCTTCTCAGATTTGCATCAAGTTGGCCAATCTTTGTGTTTTCAAGCTCTGTTTGAATGTTTTTCTCGTTGCACTATGATGTGAATTACAAGAAAACGAGGTAAAAATGATATTAAACTAGTCACAAAAATTATACTTTTGTTTTATTGTTTATCGTCCGTGGTTCATCAATTTTAAGTAGAAAAAATACCTGTTTAAAATCTGAAAAACTTACCTATAAATGTAGAAACAGACCAGTTAGTGTCTATCTTTGTCTTTTTGGATGCTTTATCTTCAATCTTATCAAATCTCGCTCATTTATTAGATTAGCGAAGCGACTCTGTCCGTATATTGTTTTGCTTTCTCTTTCACGGTTAAACAATCACTCCCTCTTGGCTACAATTTGTAGCTTCAAAATTTAGAAAGTCAAACGCAAAGTTTGGGCTATTATTAGCCATTATTCAAAAACGAAGCTTATAAATCGCTATTCTCAAGAAAAATATGAAAAGTTCCAGGTTTTTCGTATAATTTTTGTTTTCCTACAGTAATGACGTGAGCATGAACCATCTCTATGATCCATCCATTTCTTTTTCATAGAAAACTAGCCAATCAGAGCGCGCGTTATATAGTATCTATGTTATAA